AACAGATTATTAAAAAAAAAAAATAAGGCCAGATTATCAAAAAAGAAAATAAAATAAAAATTGGACCAATAAGAATCATTTACTATTCACCAAGGAGTTTGAAATTAGTATATTATATAATTATCCATTACAACATATATAACATGAATCACTAAAAAGTAAAACTAGACAACATTCATTCCAAAATAAACTTCAACTATAACTTAATAAATAACATTTCCAAAACAAAACAAATGTCTACTATTGCAAACTTGTATGATTTCACATAGTTATTTGCATTGGGAGTCGACTAGAATTCGGTCATTAAGAACTAGGAAGTAGAAGTGGAACAATCGAACTCCTCGAGTCATGTACTAAACATTGTATCGGTGATTGATAAATGTATAACTTATAAATAATAAATTTATATTTTAAAATTTTAGACGAGACGGGTCATACACAGATCAGATCGATTGTGATCCATATCCGACCATTTTAATAAAATGATTAACGTGTACGGGTCGTTAACAGATAAACGAATCATAAAATATAATCCAAACTCATTAACTTTGCACGAGTTTGGAGCGGATCAGGGTCAAAACCCGCTCCATTGCCGGTCCACATCCATCCCAATCACAATTGAATTTTCAATAAATTTGAATAGGACCCTATAGTTTTAGCACATATTCTTTATGGCAACATAAATAAATCTAAATTGTTTTTCTAATGTACAAAATACAAAAAGTTATATTCTTTTAATAGGAAATTTAATTATTCTTAAATTATTCTTAATTTTATATATGTCTTTACGAGAATTAAACTCTAATGATCAATTTTACTAACCGATTTATTATCATGAAAAACCTAATTAAGATACACAACTTCTTAGTTTTGCAATTTTAAAAGTAAGAATATGCACAATTTAACATATGTGTTTAGTTGAATCAAAGCAATTTGTTCGAGAATTATCTACTTGACATCCATACTTAAATTTTAAAATCGAATCATAAGGTTTGATTATCTATTTGACATAAAAAATCAATTATTTATGTCGAGTTGGTTTATATGTTTTAATATATATTATAAGTTATAACCATGAATAGTAAATAGATGTTATTATATAACATTCCTTTGAATCCTAGGTAATTATTCGTATTTTTCTTATTTCTTAAAATTTACTTCAATTTATTGAATGAATGTATTGATATATTTATTGTTAAATATTTTTAGGACCATTTAAATTAAATTAAATATATATTGTTATTCGAATTTATTAAAGAAGTTATTTAAAATATTTTGATGAACCGGTTTTATCTATAAAAGAAGATAAACACTTATCATATTTATATTATGCGTTGAGTTTCTAAAAATTACTCAAAATTTCTTAAATTCCTAACATATCTAACATTCATATATACCTTCATTTATACAAATAGTCAAATACGCGATGAGAAACAAATTAAAAATACAAGATTACACATATGAAATTTGTGGGTCTATTGTTATAGGATATCAAAGAGAGTTTTGAGATAACGGAAAAACTAACTCTAATCTTCAGATTTGAAAATGTTAATGAAATAGATATGTAACATTCTATATTTTTTTTAATCAGTTTCAAATTTTTTTTTTTTTAGCTTTTAATTTAATGGCCTTTAATTATAATAGTTCAATACATATCGATTGAAGGCAAACGGGCAACAAGCTGCGCCGCTAGCCCTTTCTGGATGGCAAAACCAATTCTTTTGAAAACAACATTTGTGGATCTAGGAGATATGACATTAGAATGCATGACCCATTGGACTCTATTGAGGAGCTCCACCGCCTCTGGTGCGAGAAAACCAAATGTATCGAATTCAAAAGGTACAAACACATGTTGATTTTCTATATATGCATTCTCGTGCTTTACCACTTTGCACGCAACGAATTTTAAAGCAGCATGCCCTGCTGTGAAACCCCCGCTCCCCAAACCAACGAGAGGAGAGACCCCCAGTAAGATCCACTCACGCATGCTTCCCTCCTATCCATCCAAAGACAAAAATGTCAGCCGGTCTAAGTGTGGACCTTCCATCCTACAGGTTCGTCAAAAAGTTCGCTGACGCTTCTTTCTTCACAGAAATACCAGCACGCCGACAAGCATCAAAGAGAACATCCCGAACCACATCATGTCTGTACTTGAAACCAGGGAGCTCTCTACAATGAACCGCGTGTTCCCCAAAGGTATCCAAACATGCCTTGCGGCAAACTGGGCATATCTCGTCAATTGGGAATAGGGGAATCATGAGGCGGTAACGAATGATAGTTCGGTACTTCACAGGAGACATATGCTGGCCAAGACCATCAATAAGGATAGTTAGCAGAAAGTCCTGAGCATGAGGTGCCCGCAGACACTCAAAGACTGTTTTCTGTCTGACAGTCATGTCGAAGTCGACTTCCATATCTTGGACGATTTTGCTAAAAAGGGCACACGCCAAAGCTTTTTGGGATTTAGGGGGGGGGGGGGGGCGGTGTCCTTATTAGTGAAACCGCTACAGTCAAATCCCGGAATCGTATCGCAAAGACGATTCATAGCACATAGGTAATCCGAGTCCATACCAAATACGTCACTGTCACGTAAGATGTGGTCTAGTAATGCCCAAGATCGGGCCCTCGAGGCTACAAATGCGTAGGAGGAAACCTCGTATGCCGAGTACAAACCCAAACCACCGAAACGAATAGGTAAGGAAGCCAGGCGCCACTGAATGTCTCCAAAGAAGGGGCCTCCACATACCACCATATCCTCGATAGACCTGCGCAATCCTTTGTCAAAGAACAAAGTTGCCTCTTCTATGTGTATCGGCTGGCATGTCCTTAAACCAAAGAAAAGTTTTGCAATGCCCATACATGATCGGAGCAAAAGGAGCTCACTATGTGGGTCAAATAGTTGTGGAAGAAGGCCCATCAAATCAACAGCATTGACCGCTCTCTTCATGGCTAGCCCGCTAATAAACCATGCGTCTCTGCTAACAGCCCCCCCCCCCCCCAAGGAGCTTCACCCCCAAAGAAGGTCTCCCTATATCCGTTGGGAATAAATCGGCACAAAGCTTCCTACCATCACAGGAGGGCCAAAAAATCTCCTTTTTCTTGATGTTCAACTCAAGACCCAAGCCTGGACCATGCAACCGAATAATGTTTAACACTCTAGCCACCTCCTATGAGTCCCCAATGACAGTCCCATCATCTAGATACCAAGCATGGAGAAAGAGCTTACAATTGTCTCTAATCTTGTGCACAAGCGAGTGCAAAACGAGGGCAAAAAAAGAGGGCCCAAGGGGTCACCTTGCTGCACCCCAGTGGCAGACCATATATGTTGGTCTCCAATATAAAGTTTCGCTGCTTGCCCGTACAAGAAATTCACCCACAAAGAAATGGAAGGGCACATCTTCTTAACCTCGTGGAGCAATGCTGATCGATCCACCAGGTTAAAGGCATTTGAGAAATCCACAGTCAGCATTACAAGAGACCCATCAGCATGGTGTTCACTCAACACCCTATTGGCACTGTGTAACACAGCCTCAGCACCGCCGGACACACCAACCCCGAACTGAAAATCATTAAGGTACTTAGCCATTTCTTTACTCACACCTTTCATGGCAACCTTGGAAACCAGACGTCTCCATATAGTGCCTACTGTAATTGGACGGATCCCGTTGTCAGGTTTAAGTAGAGGCGTGAGAGGAGCGGACGCAACAAACTTTGCCAAAATGGTTGGACATCTTCCCGCTAACTATAAATTAACCACTGAAGTGATAGTATGTATGAGATCTGTGGCAATAGCAGACCCTTCTCCACAAAGGGCATCTAGTAAGTGTTGAGCCCTCAAGCCATCTCTCCCGCAAGAAGTTCATTTAGGGAAGGATTTGATGCAACCAAATACACAGTCAAAGTTTGCTACAAGGGGAGGTTCAGAAATTATGGGGCTCGGCATGGATGGGGGTGGCCTAAAAGGGTGTTTGTCCTCCAAAGCTTTAATAGTATCACCATTATATGGTGCAACACCCGATGAGCATAGCACTTTCACTGCTGCGGTAAAATGACAATCTGCAACCTTACGGGGACACTGTCTGATGTTGGTGTTACTTGATGTAGACTCCTTCTGAAGGATGCCTCCACCCTGTCTTATAGCTCCAACATCGGGATTGTCTAACATATTTTGAACTAACTTCATGATAACACCCTCTTTCCCTCATGTATCCAATGACTTCAGGATGGAGCTTTGCTGTAAGGATTTTCTATTCCCAGACCTACATTATTGTCTATTTTTGGGTCTAAACACCTGCAGCGTGCAGCGAGGAAGAAGTAACAAACACATTCATGCCTCAACCGAGCCAGGTTGGGCAATCACCTTGTAAAGGGCACTCTTCAAAGTCTGAGAGAAAGCAATGCGACAACTATGAGGGATACTCTTTGACAATAGTGATTCCCTCTTGATTTCCGGGAGAATGTAGCCGATTTACTTAGTAAGCTGGACCTGTCCAATTGCTAGTTAGGCTCTTTAAAAATACGATCAAGGAGCGCAACATCAAAAACCAAGCCTCCAAGAGCATTTGTCACTGACTCTTTAGTTGACGGCTTTAGAATACCGACAAATGTTTGGATCTAGTTTTTTTTTTTTTTTTTTTTTAAACGACAAATGAATTAAGTGGAAGTCTACTCACAATATTTCAACGAACACCTCGGGTTCAAGTTCCTTTACAAAACAAACCCAACCCCATATGGATTTCCAGAAATTCCTCACATATGGCATCAGAATATTAAAAATAACTAAAACTTAATAACATTATTAGTTTGATTGATTTAATAAAAATGAAATTTTCGATCGACTTGGTTTATAAAATATCAATACATTGAATTATAAGGGTGTGCAAATTTGGACTTTTCAACTCACTCAACAGCCCACATATCTTAAATAAATTTACAGCCCACGCCCTAAAACAACCAGCTCGCCGCACACTTTCACTGTTCCCTAATCTCCACCTCCTCCAATGGCGGCCTCCTCTCTTCTCCGATCTTCACCTTTCTTCTCCTCTCCCCAACAACGAAACCCCAGGACCATCAACAATAGCCCTAGATTCCTTACAGTCAAGGCTACAATCTCATCTTCGGACAAATCAGTCGACACAACGCCAGTCATCAAATCCCACCGCCGCCCCGCAGATGAAAACATCCGTCAAGAAGCCCACCGCCGTTGCTCCTCCGAACCGAATAACTTCTCTGCCAAATACGTCCCATTCAACGCCGATCCTGGGTGCACGGAATCCTACTCGCTTGACGAGATTGTTTACCGATCCCGCTCCGGTGGCCTACTCGATGTCCAACATGATATGGAAGCCCTAAAGGAATTTGATGGAAATTACTGGAAAAACCTTTTTGATGGACGAATCGGGAAAACAAACTGGCCATATGGGTCAGGTGTGTGGTCGAAGAAAGAATGGGTGTTACCGGAGATTGATTCCGATGATATCGTCAGCGCGTTTGAAGGTAACTCTAATATGTTTTGGGCTGAGCGTTATGGCAAACAGCATCTCGGTATGAACGATTTGTGGGTAAAACACTGTGGTATTAGCCATACAGGTAGTTTCAAAGATTTAGGCATGACTGTTTTGGTTAGCCAAGTGAATAGGTTGCGTAAAATGAATCGTCCGGTGGTCGGAGTCGGCTGTGCATCCACCGGCGACACTTCTGCTGCGCTATCCGCTTACTGTGCATCTGCAGGTATTCCAAGTATCGTTTTCTTGCCTGCTAATAAGATCTCAATGGCGCAATTAGTTCAGCCCATTGCAAATGGAGCGTTTGTGTTGAGTCTGGATACTGATTTCGATGGTTGCATGCAATTAGTCAGAGAAGTAACTTCTGAATTACCGATTTATTTGGCTAATTCGTTAAACAGTTTGAGGATAGAAGGGCAGAAAACAGCCGCCATTGAAATCTTACAACAATTCGATTGGGAAGTACCTGATTGGGTGATTGTTCCCGGTGGGAATTTGGGTAACATCTATGCTTTCTACAAAGGATTTCATATGTGTAAAGAATTGGGATTGGTCGACAGGATTCCAAGGCTTGTTTGTGCTCAAGCTGCAAACGCAAATCCTCTTTACCTCCATTATAAATCCGGATGGACTGATTTTAGTCCAGTGAAAGCAAAAACCACTTTCGCCTCTGCTATCCAGATTGGTGATCCTGTTTCAATAGATCGTGCTGTTTATGCTCTCCAAAACTCAAATGGGATTGTTGAAGAAGCTACTGAAGAAGAGCTGATGGATGCCATGGCTCAAGCTGATTCAACTGGGATGTTCATCTGTCCACATACTGGTGTTGCTTTAACTGCTTTGGACAAACTTAGAAACAGTGGTGTGATTCGTCCTACTGATAGGACAGTTGTGGTGAGCACTGCACATGGGCTAAAGTTTACTCAATCCAAGATCGATTACCATTCCAAAGCCATTCCAGAAATGGCTTGCAGGTTAGCTAATCCACCTGTGAATGTGAAGGCTGATTTTGGGTCAGTTATGGATGTTCTTAAAAAGTACTTATTGAGCAAAGAATCGAAGAACTAAAACCTTATTAGGAGTTCTTTGGTTGATGTAAGTTGTGTTTTTGGGGTTGTAGATTAGGTGTTGTTCTTAGTGGTGATAAATGTTTTGGGTAAGCTGGGAAGGAAGACAATGTAATTTTGGTTTTCTATTTTAGAAGTGTACTTTTGAATTTGTTTATCATTGCAGATCGACTCATGATGAGTGCTTGTTATAGTCTGTGGTTGATTTAAGATAAGATAATAAAATGCCAAATTTCAGTCGTTTTATTATTATTAGGTTTACTACTGAATTACTCGTTTCTTTGATTGGAAGGATTGCATATGACGTACATATGTGATGCATGACTGTTTTCACCTTCTTTTTAACTTTATGACTTTGCATCCATTGGCGAAGGTCAAAATCTTTGAAATCGTTTACTTTATAGAATCTAAACATTGTTTAATGACATTACTTAACCTTATTGCGTGAACTATCCCTTGTATTTCTTAACATGCCATAAGTTTTAAATGTTCTTAAGCTTGACAAAAGATGCTTAGCTATTCTTAGAAACGTTTCAATGCATATGTATAACAGTAACCAATATTGACATTAAGTACAGGACATGTCATACCAACATAAAGTAAACATGAACTAGTTGAGGGTAATACTCATTTATAGCCTTGGTCGACGGGTGGTCGACGGACCTTTTGTTCCAACTACATTTTGACTTGATGGTCTAAGTTTTTTGCCTCCTTTTGTTCCAACTACTTTTTGCATTGATGGTCTAAATTTCATGCCTCCTTTTGGGCTTATATATGTCGTATTAGAACACCCCAACAATCAATTTGTTGAAAATCAAAGGTATGATAGGACTTGTTCACTATAGCTATGTAGTAAAATTTGTAAAAATCCTCTCAATGACAAACACTTAGGTGTTGTTTGTTTTTTTTGAAAAAACGTCTGCAGTCTGCGGACCACATCTGCAAACCTCTTCACTAGAAGAGGTGGACTAAATGTCTGCAGTCAGCAAAAAAAAAACTGTTTGCTATTAAAATAAACTGAGATTGATATACCGATTTTTTTAAACACAAAAAATATTACAACAAACTATATTTTTCATCAACTATTAGCGTGGTATAAATTATGATAACTAAAAAATAAAACTTCATTAAGGTTTTTGATATTATATTTATGAACTAATTAATCGATGACATTGTTTCTATCGTAAATAACATAAAAAAAGTTACCAGATTTATCTACTAAATGTAAACGTGTAGGAAAAAAAAATCTACAAAATTATGTCAAAGTTATTTTGATAAATATATTATTTGAATATAAAAACATGTACATAATCATATGCATAAACATTTTGGTTAATACATAATTCTGATATAAAAAAATAATAAATATACAATAAATAAATAAACAAATAATTATATGAAAAGAAAGGACGAGGACAAAAGTATAAAAAATGATAAATGACTAATAATTAATTAATTACCAAAAAAAATATTTTCTTTTTTAAAAGTTATATATAAATTGTGGAAGATGTAAGAAAATGCTAGAAGATGTTAGAAGACATAGGTCCATGTCTGAGCCAAGAAGAGGGCGCGCAGACCTTTTTAGGTTTGTGGTCTTCTAAAAAACAAACAGTCTGCGAGACCAAATGTCTGCGTGTTGTCTGCACGACGCAGACATAAGAGGTCAAGAAGAGCTTTTGCAGAAAAACAAACGCCACCTTATAGATCACTTAAGGATTTCAAAACATAATCACTATATACATGAATGAACCACACATGCACGATAATTATATTTTGTGTGTTATTACAATGTTTGGAATTGAAGTTGATAATGGTTGGCATTGAAAAAGAAATTAATAACGAAACTTCCACTCCAAATGACGCATTCACATGTATGTGGATTGAAGATTTGCATCGACTATTGCGCTAGTGACAAAACTCCATTGTCTTCGATTATCCATACCCCTCTCCACTTAATCATACCTCCTAATAATTACATTTTACTTTTTTCCTTAAATAGCTAATGATTACATAATTATTATGTTTGTTTTTTTCTTTTAATATATACTAACTTATTTATTTTTTCTTTTATTAATCTGGTTTTTTTATTTAATTTATTTATTTACCTTTGTTTTTATGATTTTTCTTTTTTGACATTTTGTTCGAAGACATTGTTTAACGTAAAAAAACATATTTGACGTTTTGTTCTTTTATATTTTTTTGACATTTTTTTTAATATTAGTATACTACTTTAAATCACCTCACGTTTAGGAATACTCATGTTTGGCTACTTTACAAATTGACCACGCATGTTGCTGTTTCATATTTTTGGCACATTTGTTTTATTTTTTTTTAATCTTTAACGTTTTGGTCAAATACATATTTTTTAAGTTTTATTTGTTTGTATTTATTCCAAAATTTTATTTTTAAAACTTATTATTGTTTCGAACGACGAATTAAAAAAAATATGACATTTTTATTTAAAGAAAAAATATGACGTTTTGTTTGTTTGTATAATCAAAAAAATTTTAAATTTTTATCTTTTTTGTATAGTTAAAAAAATCTCTGAATTTTTGTTGAACAACAAATTTAAACAAAAAAATGTTTGACGTTTGAATATATTTTTAATGTTTTATTAGTTTATATTTATGATGTCATTATAAAAAAATAGAAAAAATTCTAAAATATTGAATGACATAAATAAAATAATATATCTAAATAAATATTAAAATAATTATTACTTTGACCTAAACAATAATTATTAGTTTATCTAATAATTTGCGCGGAAAACATTATGAGATTATTATCTTTTTACTTAAAGGGTTTTTTTTACACCATATCTACTTTTGAAATACACGGTAGTCTATAATGCTGACTGTGTTTTATTGGTTATCAATTATCAATAATCTTTTTTTTTATATTTTCCAAACATTTACAACTTTTTATTTTTTCTAAACATTTTAAGCTTTTAACAAAAGCAAAGTCAACACACAAAAAACGATATTAAGAATCATCAAATGCAATTAAACATGATGGATATATAAAGCTCACCGGAAGATTTATCTTAATCTAAATAATCATCATTGCTAGAAAAATTCCTCACCAGAATATGTAAAGTTATTCCGGCCGGAAAAGTTCAAAACCTCATCTGAAAAAAGTAATTCCGGCCGCGGGAAAAGTTCAAAAACACATCGAAAAAGTACAAAAACTCTTCGTCTTTGTTGTCGGTATCCTTCGCCGCCTGTTGCCATTTTCTGTCCTTCTCCGTGTGTACCGGAAAATAAAACGTCGTCATTGACATCTTTTCTCGTTCCACCCAGCTGCATCTTCTCCGTCGGTATCCTTCGCCGTCGTCACCGTTGTGTGTTACCGGAAAATAAAGCATTGCTTCTCTCCGTCTCAGGTAATCTGCTGTCTTTTACTTACCGGCGTACATCCTTTTGATTTCACATGATTCTTCTGCTTTTATTTCCCACAAACCAAAGTCCAACGAAGATTTAGGTATTTAGATCTCGTGAAGATTGAATGAATTTGGTGCAAAATGTGGCACGTTCTCAAGATTTTGTTATCGTTACTAAACGATCAAGGGCAATAACTATTGGATTCAACTCTAACATAGTACTTGGTTGTGATCGTGGTGGTATACCCAAAAGAAAAGATGCAAATTCAAAAAAAATTAATTGTCCATTCGAATTGGTAGGGAAGTATATGAAGGCTCGTGGTTTTTGGACGTTAAGGGTCGTACGTGATGAACACAATCATGAACCAGCAATGTGTATGGAGGGTCATCCGTTTGCAATGCGATTGTCGAATAAAGAATCTCATTTGGTGCAAGAATTGACAAAGCTCAATGTTCAGACTGGAATCAAGAATCACCTAGGTATAGTTCATTCATCATAGATTTGAACGATGAACCGACTAGGCATAGTTCATTCTTCATGGGCTCGAACGAGGAACCAATGAGCCAAATTTCATACGAGATGGACTTAAACAATGAACCAATAGGTCAATGTTCATACGAGATGGACATAAAAAAGGAACCAATAGGCCAATGTTCTTACCAGATTGACTTGAACGAGGAACCACCAGTGGGACATACTTCGTTGTTGGAGGAAATTCCAACAATCTTTCATCCATATATCATGCGTATACAAAATGTAAGGGGTGATGGAAACTGTGGTTTTCAATCAATGACTGTTTGTCTCGGATATGATGAAGATCAGTGGCTCTATGTTCGTCAACAATTATTAGACGAGTTATTGAGCTCATATGACGACTATGCTAGAGTTTTCAGTGGATGCGAGGAAGTACTTAATTCATTGTCTTTCTCAGAGTCGCCAACACCAAAGGAATACTGGATGCTTATGCCTGAGACAAGAGTCTTGATATCCAACAGGTTTGGTGTGATCCTCCACTTTTTGACCAATGAAGGCCCTATAACTTTTTTTCCTCTCTGGAGAGGCCCTGAAGAGTTGCAATATCATCATGTTCTTACAATTTCACTTGTGTACGACGATCACTATGTCATGGTACGATTAGAAGGAGAGTACCCAATGCCTCCCATTTCAGCATTATGGATTCGCCACAAGCCCACAAAGCCCCATCAGCAACTGGATGGCAAACTATGTATAAGTCGCGTCTAGAATTTTATAAGAAGCTCAAACCTACTAAAAAAGATTTTATAACGATAAATGATTAGTTGTTACTCAATTTTATCTTGTATTGTTGTTATGTTATATTTAAAGTTAAAAAGAAAAACCAGAGATCGGAGAAGATTCATTTCGATATTTTTCTTATAATTTTAATTTTATTGTTATTAATATTATTATCTTATAAAAAATATATTTGTAATTCTATTTATCTTATAAAAATCTAAGTTTTAGAAAAAAGAAATAATAATAATATTAAGTTATTAAAAATGATTAGTAATAATATAATCATTATTTAGTAAAGTTGATGAAATGATTAAACATATAATGATTATGTTATGATATATAAAAGATAAAACATACTAGACTATTAGACTAAGGTGTGATAAAGTATTAGATTATGGTGTCTTTAACAACACCCTTACCATAATAATGAAATGGGTATGACAATAAAAGAAAGGGATAAGCAATAATAGTTCCCAACTCCATTTTGTTTTCTCGAAAAGTGTATATGCTTAGGCTACGATTAATTGATAGATTAGATAAAAAAATATAATTGTATTTCCTTTATGAAATGATGATGGAAAAATATTAGGCATATCTTTTAAAAGAAAGTTTTTATGTAGCCTTGTAGTCTTTAGTAACCTTAATATTAAGAGCACTAGATGTGGACAACTAGATGTAACACCATTTTGGTGCCACATCACATGTCACATCATCAATGGTGTTATAACACCAAGTGGGAAAATGGTCATCATGTTGTATCTTGTTATGACACCAACTTTTTTTTCCATTTTATAATTTTTTTTTATTTTTTTTTTGAATTTCTTTTTTTCTTTTAATTTAGACAAATATTTTTTAAATATAACATAATAAATAAAACATAATGTTTAAAAATTATAAATAACATATAATAATTTTTTAAGATTAAAATTAACATAGAGATTAAATTACACATAACATCCAAATTCAAAAAAATAAAAAAAAATAACATCCAAATTCAAAAAAAAAAAAAAAAAATACAACGCTATTCCTTATCGTTATTGTTACCATAGAAGATATAATCCGCCAAGTCTTCTCGAAGTTGTTTGTGTTTATTTGCGTCCTGAATGTCAACAACGCGATGCAAATAATCAGCTGTTCCTGGTTGAAACTGAACGTGTCTGGCTCCGTTGGGATATAGTGTGCAATATTTCGCCCTTTATCTTCTACTACCATGTTATGCATTATGATACATGCATACATGATATATCGTAGAGTTTCTAAATCCAATGGCCATGCTGCATGTTCGATTATATGCCACTTCACCTTCAGCACTCCAAAAGCACGTTCCACATCCTTACGTGCTCCTTCTTGTCTTCTTTTAAAAAAATTGTCTCGTTCTTCAACCGGGTGGCGGAATGCCTTCACGAATGTGGAATACTGAGGATATATTTCATCTGTAAGGTAATACCCACATTTGTATTCGTTTCCATTCACCGTGAAAGGAGCATCCGGGGCTTTTCCATTCAAAAGATCGTCGAATATTGGTGACTGATCAAAAACGTTGACGTCGTTGTTGGAACCCGCATCCCCAAAAAATGCATGCCAAATCCATAAATTTTGAGAAGCAACAGCCTCTAAAACCAACGAAGGTGATCCGTGATGACCACTTGCATATTGCCCTTTCCATGCTACCAGACAATTTTTCCATTTCCAGTGTGTGCAATCAATGCTTCCGATCATTCCGGGAAACCCATGGCGTTCTTCATGTGCCACATACAATTCTTGCAAATCATGCAACGAAGGTTTCCGCAAATACACGTCTCCAAATGTTTCAACAACACCCCTTGCCAATGTATACAAACTCTCCCTTGCGGTTCTTTCGGACATTCTCATATAGTCGTCCATGGTGTCAAGTGACTCCCCCATAGCCATCAAACGAAATCTTCTTTTGAAGTCCTTCGACCCGTATACACAATTATCCGCAAAGTAATCGCGATATAGATGTTCGTGTCCTTCCTCACGATTTATGTTTAACACCGCACGTCTTGTTAGTAGCGGGGCTAGGTCTGGTTATAGCAGCTCGTTAGTATAATACTGATACATCATCTTGAAGAATATATCGTCATCGGAATCATCGGACGAGTCGAAAGGATCCATAATTTTTTTTTGAAGATAATTGAGATTTATAGAGAGAAAGATAGAAGTTATGTGTTTAAAAAATTGTTCAGATATAATAGGTATTTATATAGGAAAAAAATAATTAATTTTAAAGTTTTTTTTTTTTTATTAAAATAACCGTTTTCAAGCGGTTTAAAATGGGTAACATTCCATTTTTTCTCGTTTCATCGGGTGGAGACGGCAACGAGAATAGCCACAACGAGATGGGGGGGGGTGTGCAGCTCGTCACGACGCCGTTTTCAGCCTCCACGTAGGCAATAACGAAAACGGGGGAACCCACACCGTATGCTCTAAGAGAAGTATTGTTTGTTATCATTTATGACATACTTTGAAGTAATTTTCAAAACAATACTTAAAATTTAACATCACAATATTTAAGAAACATAACGTTTTTTCATAAGTGTGGATTGGTATATGTTTGATAATAACTATAAATAATAAGACATAAGTTTCAACTATCTAATTTATACGGAAAAACTTACTACAACATTGATTTATCAAAATTTTGAATGTTACTAAAAAATAGTAGCACAAAAGAAGAAGATGAATATATTGCAAATCTCTAAAATCAGTGGGCATGAAAGATCCCTGACGGAGATCATTTAAAATGAAAAGGTCAAGATAAAGATAATGATAATGAAGATGCTCTTATATATTATAAGTTTAAAGTATCTTAATTTTCATAGTTTATTTTTTCTTTATATTTTATTAACTTATGAGATAAGATACTTAACTGGTTTTACATGTATGGACCAGACCAAGTTGACAGCTTATAGTACCAGTCCGAAGTCCGAAGTCCGAAGCCTTTGCCAATTTTCTATCCTACAAAATGGCTAGAATTGGCCCAATAATCGGTTAACTTCACATTTCACTTTGAATTGTGGGCTCTTTCTGTAAGCCCAGCCCAAAATCAAGCATTCGGCGTAGTGTAACATAACAACGGTGAACCGGCGAATGACCGGATCATTCTGATCCTCACACTTGGAAGCATGTGGTCGCAAACTGGTTACCGTGACATCCTTTTGCCGATGTTCTCTCTCTAAATCTCACCCTTTTAGAAAGACAACCAGAGGAAAAGAGACGGACAGACTGTTGTGTGGAAATGGTTCTCTGCTTCCGGCGTTCATCTTATTATGATTATTAGGTAAACAAAATGTATATGTTGATTGAATTGATTTGATTATACTATTTCCTCGGTATTCATTCACTCTGATTGCGTAAATGTGACCAAATTAGGGTTCTTATTAGTTTTTAACATGAGAATTAGTAAGGCTTTTTATTCGTATGTTTTTACTGTGGTTGTACATTTTATGAATGTTTTGTAGCCTGGATGTGATCGATCGCTAATATCGCTTGCTTTAATCGTTCATGCAATGTGTTTTTCTTCAGTTTTGTTAAGATTAAAACAGTTATGAGACGTCTTATGTTGTAACTGAAGATTTCCCTTTCACTATGCGAAGTTTTAAGCCAATTTTCCTGCTTGTCCATGTAATTATTACAGTTTTCATGGCTTGAAAATCAATTGGTTAAGTTTTTAATGTAGTCTTATGTGTTTAGACATAATCCATGGGCGTTTTGAACATTTGGTTGTCGATGTGAACACTCGTATGGATGGATGAAAGAAGAAAATGTTACAAGTATTGAAATTTGACTTTTTTATGTACCACTGATTATTTTGTGCTTCATTTTTGCAGGCATGGATGTTACCATCTGATAACAAAACTGAAGATCCAACAATATGTGGGGTTTTGCTTCAAACACCATTGATGGTAGCTCTGGACTTAAAAACAATCCTTCAAGACCCCATCATCCCTCATCCGACTGCTCAGATGATGATATCTCCATAACCAACAGTGGAGAAGAAGGTTTCGAGTGCCCAATTTGTTGGGAATCCTTCAACATTGTAGAAAACATACCCTACGTTTTATGGTGTGGTCACACCCTCTGTAAAAACTGTGTTCTTGGCCTCCAATGGGCTGTTGTCAAACTCCCAACTCTCCCAATTCAACTCCCATTCTTCATATCTTGCCCATGGTGCAATCTTCTATCTTTTCGCCTCGTTTACAAAGGAAACCTAAAGTTTCCTAGAAAGAATTACTTTCTTTTATGGATGGTTGAAAGCATGAATGGTGACAGAATCAAGTCTCATTCCTCTTGCCCGGACCACCACCTGCCGCCAGTAACCTCCTGGTCATGGAACCGTGGTTGGGTGGCTAACCGCGGGAACTCCGCCGTGGGCCCATGTACGCGTGAGTCGGATCATAATAGTCAAGATGCTAATGGGACCCATTCAAACTCTGAAAGATTGCAGTCTTCGATCCGTAAGTCACTCATCTTTTTCGTTCACTTGACAGCTAAGTTTCCATTGGTGTTTATATTTCTGCTTATTGTGCTTTATGCGATTCCTGCAAGTGCGATCATCTTGGCTGTGTATATTCTGATTACAATTCTGTTTGCTGTTCCTTCTTTTCTTGTTCTGTATTTTGCATACCCTAGTCTTGATTGGCTGGTAAGGGAGATTATAAATTAGGGTTATGTTTGGTTCTTGTTTCTAGTTAAAATTTTGACCCTTTTTGTTCAGTTTGTTGAACCATCTGTTTAAGTAGATTTGAGTTTGTACTTGAACGTTTAAGATGAGAATTTAATCTGTGAGCTTTTTTGTTGATATTTGTTTCTTATTCATGTCTTTTGACCTTATACTGTGTTTGACATTGAACAACATCTTTACGACCAAAATGCTATTAGAAAATGATAAAATATTTATAATGACATTCATTCCATTTCTAATATTTAGATGACATTTACCTACTTACGTACAACATTGTATGATTTGTATCATGTACTATTTCGTCACAAGATGAAGCTTAGCGGTTGATGTGTTAAATTTCATACAGGAGTTGTAAGGTTCAAATATTGACTTATGATAGTGAAAATTGCATTCGATTTGGATACCATTGGCACAAATCATAAAATTTCCATATATAATGTTTTAATAAAAACTAAAAATTAGAATTTACGACAAAAACTTTACTATTTTTTTTTTCATTCAACGTTTTTGTTTTATGGAAAATCTAGTTTTTTGTATTTAATCAGTTAAGAGTTTTCATTTTTATTTAAGTGTTTATGTTTTAACAACCAAACAAAAACAAGTAAAGAAAGTTGGAATCGTGATTTATTATCAAACCAATAGTTACTATCAGACAGTGGCACTGTTTAATGACAATTTTTTTAGTACGATTTACATAAAGATCCATTATTCTACTACTAGATTTACATATTTCGTCCTAAACAGTACTTGAACCTTCAACCTTAGGTTGAGGGATGTATATCCGTCATATTCTCAACCTCAGGTTGAGGACATATATCCGTCATATTCTAATACAGTTAGACCATATGTTTTTTTGGTGTTTAATGACTTTTAATGATACTAACACATGGTCCTAAACATTGTACTCACAAGGAGTGAAAATTCGTCTTCAAGATTTAATGTCCCGAAATAGAACTTTATATGTTGATTTTTACATGCGATTTGGCCCGTATTTTGGAGTATGACATAAAAAGCCAACAATGGTGAGTATATATATATATATATATATATATATATATATATATATATATATATTGACACACATATATACAGACACACACGAGACTAATATTTCATACGAGTTACTATCATTCAAAAAATTGAAATTGTTATCAAACTAACTCGTTCTCATAGTAAAATCGTTGTGACATGTAAACAATCATTTTGAGTTGTAATATGTAGATAATTATTTCGATAAAATAATTTGGTATAATTAAGGACTTTGTTATAAACTAATGCTCATATTACATAGTATATTACCAAATGTAACCAACACATACAACTAAATTTAATCAACTCGTATATTTATTTAATGACAAATATAAGTTGCATTTAAGGGATATATTTTCTAAACATCTATCATTTTTTTCAAAAAAATAAAAATAAAAGAATATTTATCTTTTGGGTCGACACACGAACAATACATTTTCACTTGAGTTATTAACAAAGTAAGATATACATAAACATTATTGGATTTTCATAACAAATTTAAGGAACGTATAAAGTAAAAACTCATCAGTTAGGAAACATAGAAACATACAAAACAGAAGAAAACCCACCTCGTAAGAGAAATTCCACAAACCTAATCACAAGAACGATGTCTGTTCAACTTGGGCAAAAACGACCTGAAGTATAAAAAACCAAAAGAACTTCAGCGAGAGAACAAAGGCAGTATCTACGACACAGAGAAAGAAAAGGCCGTGTAATGTTGACGCAATTGAAGAACGTGGTCCCAATTAACCCCAACTAAGAAACTTGCACAGAGAATGGATGAGGGAAAGAAAAAGAAAACAAAAGAAAAAAACGAAAAATATAACAAATAATAAAACAACGGAGAAAAAAAAAAGAAAGAAAATATTAAATAGGTGAAGGTAAATAGCACGAACAATAAAAGAATATTGGGTAATATGAAATAAGCAAGAACTACACTATTGGTGGCTAATATGGAATAACAAAAAACTATGTTGTTGCTAACGTCCATGTATATTAATAAAGTATACTAATAGGCTTCAATTAGCAACAATGTATTCAGATTTGAACACTAAAAGTGGTTCATCATTCGGTCAATGAATAACCTACCAACACCAAGGTTAGCCAAGAGATGTCACAACCATTCCATCCCCGTCTTTAACTTCAATGGGTGGTGGCAGCAAAGACCGCTAAGGGTTTCATGTAATAGACATACATACCTATGTGGTTGTCTTAATTCATGTTGGTTTTATGATAACTCGAACACAAACATCCTAATATTTGCAAACACAAGATTAACAACAAACTAGTTTTTAATTAAAAAAAAAAAAAGTAACATTTTGTCCCAACATAGATCATATATGTTTATATGTTTTTACTTTTTAGGGCATACATAATAGTTAACATAATAAGTATATTCTTCAATTTCAAACATGTTTTTGTACGAGTTCCGAGCATTTTCGTAAACTCTGAGTTCAAAATTTAAAATTTTCAAATTTTCAAATTCGGTGATTATTTTCGAATTTTCTATGTCATAACACCCCTTAACAAGAAGGGGGTGGTGTTCCTTGCGTTAAGATAACGTTATAGCTACCACCTCAGTTATAACGGGAGCTTAACAGCACCATACCATATACTTTAAAAGGTGGTGGTTTAGTGATTATTTATTTGGGTTAATATCATAAAAATTACAACCAATAATATTTAGTTTATTATTTGAAGGGTAATTACTAATCTAGTCAAATTAAGAAAGTCATTAGCAATTTTTAGCCAAAAATTAGTAAATGTCAAAATATAGCCCACGAAACCGTAGGTTTCGAGTTTCGTCTACTGTTTCGCCAATTCGTCTACTGTTTCGTGTTTTGTATAATTTTTTTTTTCATTTTCAACATACAAAACCGTAGGTATCTCGAAACCTACGGTTTCCCTAACCGTAGGGTATGGTTTTGTCAAAAAAAAAAGACGTTTTTTTTAATCTACTTTTGGGGGTTTTAACTACTGTTTTGTCAAAAAAGCTACGGTTTTTTAATTTTTTTTTTTAATAAAGAGTATAAAAAAGAATGTTTATAATTGAAGCCTCACGAGGCAAATTACCCCACGCATGACCTGGAGTTGGGGGCAGTGGTGTTTGCCCTCAAGATTTGGAGGCACTATTTATATGGGGTGAAATTCGTTGTGTATACCGATCACAAGAGTCTGAAGTATTTGATGGACCAACAGAACCTGAATATGCGACAAAGGAGATGGTTGGATGTGCTAAAGGACTATGACAGCGAGATCTTATACCATCCAGGGAAGGCCAATGTGGTGGCCGATGCATTGAGTCGCAAAGCGACAGGGTCGCCGATCAGGGGTATTTGTATGAGGGTGACGGTAAGTCCACCCTTGATAGACATGATTCGAGAGGCTCAGGTCGAGGGGGTGAAGAAAGAGAACTGGAAATTGGAAAGAATTCGGGGGCAGTATCCTTTGTTTGTTAAGGATAGTCGTGGCTTGTTGACACAGTGTGGCCGAGTATGGGTGCCGATGTCAGGGGGAGTGAGGCAGAGATTGTTAGAGGAGGCGCATAAGTCCAAATTTTCTATACACCCAGGTGCAACAAAAATGTATAGGGATTTGAGGATGAGCTATTGGTGGCCCTGCATGAAGCGAGAGATCGTCGGGTATGTGGAGCGATGCTTGACCTGCAGAAAGGTCAAAGCCGAGCACCAACGACCTCATGGTAAGGTTCAGTCATTACCCATTCCCATGTGGAAGTGGGAAGAGATCACTATGGACTTCATCACGAAGCTACCGCGGACAGCGAGGGGAGTAGATGTCATATGGGTGATCGTGGATAGACTGACGAAGAGTGCTCACTTCATTCCGATCTCCGAGAGTATATCTGCAGAGAAGTTGGCGGACATTTATGTTCGAGAGGTGGTGGCTAGGCACGGAGTGCCGGTATCAGTGGTTTCTGGTGGTTGTCGAGGTCAACAAAAATAATAACCCTAAATATTACGCACTGAAATAGTGTATAGTGGTAAAGGGATCGTATCCACGGGGATTGGTTCAATTTTATAAGTCTATGATAATCTTTTTGTACAAATACTTGTAAAATAAAATAGAATTGGGGGATTTTGATATTTTGATATGTTTGAAAGAAAACTAGAATTACACTAAGATTTAAAAATATGATTCAACAAAAATAAAGTTTGATGTAAAATAAGAGAAAGATGGTTGACTTTGAATTTTCATTACTTGAACATTTGGTTAATTAATCATGAGAATGCCAAGGTGCAATACTTGTGTTTATAATTTAACTTGGCTATAGCAATTTATAAGCATAACTTGCCTCAACTCTTCTTTTGTATTAAAATGACTAGAGAAGCTCATAGTACATTTCCTAAATCAAAGTCACAAAACTAATGAAGCATGTAGTTTTGTGAAAATTAATTAGCATTAAGTTTTAAGAGTTACCAAATCCAAAGAGTAATCAATTTCTTTCATTACCACTATGAAGAAAATATTTCCTTAGTTTAAATGAAATGAAATCAAACATTTAAACTAATTGTTGCTTGTTAAATTGAAGACCCATTACTTAGCCAAGAATTTAACCAACAAAAATAACATTCATATATCAATATTCATGACCAAAGATATATAAACATCAAGAAAGTTTTCATAGAAAATATAATCATAAACATTAAACAAAAGTTCATGGTGTTCTTCAAAATAACCAAAATATTCAAGCAATTACTGTAGCACCTGGTTCTGGGTACGTATTCTTTTAATTTAATCTTTTAATAATTTGCATTTTTGACCTTGGACTCGGCGAGTCAAATGATCGACTCGCCGAGTAGGAGCGGGAAGGGGGCACGGGGTTTAAGTCGTGGACTCGCCGAGTCGGGTCCCGGACTCGGCGAGTAGCCTCTGTCTGGACAAAAACCCTAATCTGAGGGTTTGCACCCTATTTAAGCAACCTTATGCAGCCC